CAATAGAGACTGAACTTACTTTTCGACGATCAGTTTTATTTCAGGTATTGTTAATTTCATTGGCTTCCTGTTAGGAATAATTGATCGCTTCAATTAACAATAAATACCCACCTGTTCTGGGGCCTGTTATGTTTCCAGTAAAGGAAAGTTTAAAAGCTCCGTCTTCCCCGTTCTGCTCAGCTTTGAGGAGATTGGCCCTGCCCTGTCTCCTAAAAGCTTTTATTGTGTGTCTTGTGTTCTGGGTGATTCTGTATTCAGCACTGCACGTCGAAAATAACATACAGGGTAGGACAAGCAAGACCTAAAAGTATTGAAAAGAAAAAAATAGAGGAAGTAAATAGAATAACATGTGATTAGAGTTGATTAACCTGGTAGAGTGGAGGTCGGCAAGCTGTTCAAATCCAAGTTTGCTAACCAAAGAGTGGTGGAACAAACCCACAGTTTATTTAAGCAATGCACAGATTAAGAGAAAAATATGGATGAAAATTGAAGAATTGATTGATCTGGTCTGATGATCCCGAAGGCTGATGCGAATGCATCTCGTTGACTATGAGAAATGATCGATCTAACCTAACGCAATTAAATTAAACCACCAGTATATCGCTCAGATTTGCTAAAAAAAAAACAAAGGATTGCATAAAAAACAAAAAACAAAGAGACTCAAGAGTGTCTAAGAATTGTAAATCGAACTCTCGAAACTGGGCACGTCGTCACCAGCCCACTCATGGGCAAGGCATGCTCCAGTATTTGAGTTCAATAGACAGCTTTGCCAGGAGCGAGAATATAAACCTGAAAGCACTGAGTTTTGCGACAAAAAAAGCAAAGGAGACGCGTTTGGGAGAATGAAATTGACAGCAAGGAAGACTGAGCTGCTTCCAAAATTTCTCCCCAGAAAATGGCGAAAAATTATCAATAAAAAAAGGAAAGTACGAAGTCAATATGTGGCCAAAACACTTCTCTATAGTGTCTAAACATGCTTTTGAAATATTTAAGTAGTCCCATGGCTAAAAATAAGCTGCAACACTTTGATGGAATCGAGACGTTTACGTTGTTTACGAAAAGGCAACAGAAGTTAAAGTGAATACAATCGTACAAGTACAATTGTCCAAAATGTAGCTGTGGATAGACCTGCGTTTAAAAACTTCTGAGTTCATTTAACATTATTTTCTTTAGTGATTCTAAATCAAGTTCTTTTGGATCACTCGTTAATATCTCTTAGGGTTAGTGGATTACAGTTATTTAGAATATGGGTTAATAAAAGCATACTTCGGGCCAGAAAAAGTGTGGACATTTCATTATAAATAACCGATTGCGAAGAACTAAAGAAAGAATCGTAACACTGCGAAAATTCAAGTGATTGACGATTTACGACGCCATTGAAAAACGTTGACTTACCAGTAGTTTTGCGACGGCCATTTTACACCGTGAGCTATCAACTAAGTCTGTTTGAAATCCGTAAAGCATTGCCATTTATAATGGCTAGTGATTTCGAAACTGTTTCCTGGGCTGTTCCCTTTCCTGTAAGTTTTTAAGATAGATGTTAACGACTCAGAAATAAAAAGAACCTCCGTCTTTTCGACGTAAGGGAACTTTCCATTCAGCGTCGGAGAAACACAATAGTGCTTTAACGCCATATTTTCCGGCCTTGTCCTGACAGTAGATTTAATCAAGAACCAATTAAACCTAAGAGACGACTTGCATCAGTTACGTGTACGTATCTTTTTAAAAACTTTAATTTTGACGACGAGTTTCATTTTTAATTGAATTTCAATTAAAAGCTTCCCTAAGAATGTGGTTTTGGAGTTATTTTAATACTATTTGAAAAAATAACTTTCCGGTGATGTAAACAAATTAACGTGGTGGATCTAATTTGGTCACGAGATATTCGACGTCTTTGAGCAAGCTACTTCCAGGTGAAAGGGCACTGTTACTATCACATTGTTTATATAATTAAGTAGCAAACCAAGGAAAATATTTTATATAAGTTAAACTGAAGCCGTTAAACTCCACTGAAATTGATTGTTATTTACTTTTGCTATGTCAATAATTAGATTTAGGAGCAGCGAAGTAAAATTAATGTAATGATACTGCATCATCGAACCGTGAAAGAATAAATGTTTTTAAATGATCAATTTAGGTAACATAATCTGAGTAATGTAGCATATTTACTAAACACGGGGAAAAAGCCGAGAGTTCCAATCATCTTGAAAAGAAAAACAATCTTACTTCTTTGTTTAAGAGGGAGGTTCTGGAACATCTAATCGTTTGTCCTGTAAAAATTGTGAAATTGGAATTTTTTTTTAAACGGTTAAATGCTCTAATGCTTTGTTTTCATTTATGACAAAATAACTTTCATTTGTCATCAGTAAATAGAGTGAGCTAAACGGCAAGTATGTATGTACCTCAAACATACAGAGTGGAATACTAGAAATACTGAGTATTACAAAACATCTATTTTTGAAAAATTCATTCATTCTTCCACAGTTCGCCGAGGTAAGGAACTCACTAGATTCAGGAACTGTTTTACTTTCTTTAAGGAAAATTTAAAACAAATGCTTTTCCATTGGCAGAAATATTGAACAAGATGGCGGGCGCGCTTGTGCATTTCGTCCATAGTGGCGTCCAAATAATATAAGAAACTGTATGGAAATTTGTAAAATTTCAAAAATATAACAATCAGGAGCTCATGGTCCCGTCTGCTCTCGATCGAGACATATTCAGTACTGATTCTGCTATTCATCAAACCTCACAGTGACTTGATAAATAGAAACCACTTACTTCCCGAGCCAGTTCCTTTGTCATTGTCCATTGGCCTAAGTCGCCATACAGTTCTTCACAATCCGTCGTTCTCCATCTCAAACACTCGCCTATTACAGGAAAGTGCATCAATGAAGTCAACTGCTCTCGATCGAATTGACTGCTACTGAGTTCGAAGCGTCCAAATATCCTGTAAAATTGTCATTTGCTCCCATCACAAAACTTCCCAACGCGCCAGAATATCCCTTATTTTCCATGTTGAGTAAGTGACGAGACGCCATGTTGAAAACTATGACTGAAATGGTTAAACACGAGCAATGTCGATCTTCGAATCGTCGGCCATACTTGTTTATGTTTTTGCTGGGAAATAAATTAGTTCTCAGGTCCTTTTCGGAATAAAAATATGCCTAGCGTTGAATGCAAATTCAGTAGTCTTGGCGCGAAAATTTAATAAAAGCAAATCAAAATTCTGACATTATGTCATCGCTCTGCCTCGAAAAATCTCAAAGATTTACTTGCAGGTCTTCTTTCCATTTTCTTTTCATCAAATAGATGATCTGCGGTGCTCAAATTGTGTAAGTTATGGTACGAAACACTCTTCTTTGCAGATCGAGCCCTGATCGCCGCCACATTGAATTCTATTGATATTCTATTGTTGGAGTGTTATACGATATACCGCTGATAATTGTTAGCGGGCTCGAAATGTCCTTGATTTCTGGCAATGATGCGTCTTTGATTAAATTAGGTTCTCTAAAAGACCTACTATTCTTTAGAATTGTGTCGTATGGACCAAGGAAAGCGAAACTTCTTTCCATCTGAAGAATTTGAACATAAAATATCGAGGCTTCCAGCTCACAATTTAGTCGCTGAATAAAAATTTGTCAGTAATGCGCTTTTGGTTTGCATTTTTGATTTATGGCTGATTGATGTATCTAAAAAAAAGGACGCAGATATTTTATCAGGGGTGATTTTAAAATTCATCGAACAACCTTATATCTTACGTCCACCACGTTAGTCACTTTCTGGGAAGTTGTAAAGTTTTACTTTCTATCTCTATATAATAATAATTATAAAATCTTGAAAACGGGAATTAAAGGTTTAACTTTTTGTTTTTAGGCTTTCAGTTGGTGTCTGAGCGTATAATATATCTGCAATACCTTCGTCAAATGACAGAGGCACTGATTCTCTCTCTGAAAAATATAAGGCAGTGTAGATTTACTCAATCAATAACTAAGAAACACTGCTCTTCCGCGTATAAACAAAATTGCAAGGAAACATGAGATTACACATTTTCGTAACACGTAGAATTATCTTCTGAAATTTTTTTTGTGTTAGACTCCTAAATTAAATACACCCTATCTGTAAGCTCTTCATTACTCGTTATTTAATGTGCTCATGATGGTTTAAATCGTATTTACTCAAGGCCTTTAGAGGAAGAGTGTTCAAGAAAGGAATAAATCAATTAGTTTCCCATCAGGTTTCAAACGGTTTAAGGATGTCAGAACGTATTGTTCTTCATCCAGATAAAAAAAGGCTCCATCCTCAGTATTCAAATCAAATGCAAAATTTTCACTTCGTTATATAAGCAGGTAGAAGGCAAGTGACAAAGCTCAATTGCTTGTGTTTGCATGACATAACTGTTGTTATCTTAGTGACTTGTTTGACACTACCAAATATTAACCGCATGAACCATTTAAAACAATTGAATTTGTCATTTTGCAAAGTTTGTAACACACATAATCGAATGCTGTGAGACTCTAAATCAATCAAAATTCTCTCGTAGAAACTAGGGTTGCTTTATTTAAATCATAGTAATTTATGCTTTAAATAAACACAGTACTGACTCATCTGAGTCAATCATACAAGGAATATAAGTATTCATTATACATCATAAATATCAAAATTCAATCAATGTCGATAGTATGCACAACATGAATATGTTAATCATCTCAAATACATAGTATTACGTTGCAGTCACTTGTAAGACGATCTTGTAAATAATTGTTATTTACTGTACATGTGACTCTTTTTTATCTTAACTTAACTTCCTTATCTTTTCCTTCCATTTTTTCTTGATATGTGACATATCATAGCGTAGTAAAGGTATTAAATATAACTATAAATTGCGATTTTAAGTTCAAGAGAATAAATCTCATGTAAGTATATCGCCTTTGGCTCCCTTCACCACGCTCGCGCTACTCTCTCAACCAATCATATGCGAAACTGATACCAATCGTCACGTGCTAGGCGTGTTTTTTCACACGCTTAAAAGAGAGCCATGTTCCACAGTCCATCCAGTTAGAGCTCAAAAGGACGCGACCGTCCCTAGCACTTTTAATCGCGAGGCCACTGGCTTTGGAGACTATTACTGTTAGGACACGTTCCACCTCTTTGTTATTTTCATTATCAGTATATGTCCAGTGGAATTCCGTCAGCGAAAACTTATAGTTTTTTTCCATCAGTTCCGTCGTAGAATTGTGTGGTTTCTGCCGATAAAGAGCAAGAGAAGGGTAACTTTATGGCACTACATTCCGGTATCCCTAAACTGTTACATTACTTATGGCTCTGTGGTTAAGGAACTCGATATAGTCGATAACCAATCAGAGTGCAGGAAAGACTATATTGTTTTTAAATGGAGCAATCAGAGCGTAGGAGTTTCATCCAAGAAGCAGCGGACGGACAATTGAAATACTCAGGTTGTTCAGTGCGCTGTTTCGGGAAAAAGGTTAATAGCAACAAAAAAAAAAAGCAAACAAGATAACTGCGCTCTTTGAACATCTTTCTGTGCAAGGTTTTCGCCGAGTCTGCTATTTAGAATGGCAATTTTATCAGTCTGCATCCATGCATATTGAGACGTTTTTTGTTTCATACTTTACATTCAAAACTACTTTATTTTTACATAAGAGATGCTATTCTGACTGATGTCTTTAAAGCTGCGCTAACCTCTATGACCAACTTTCGTCCATCAACAGCCAGTAAATACTCTGGCCAATCGGCGGGGTGAATGGTAAAATGACCGGAAGAACCATTGACGTATTTTTTGAATAAGAATTCTGTTCCTGGAAATAGATATACAGAGTGATGATTAATTCATGGAAGGCGCTTAATCCATTGACATTTCGTATGTAGTAACATACATTTCGTCTCGCTTCTGCCGAGAATAGCACTTTGAACTTAGCTTTTTATAACAAAAATTTTAACACAACTTTTTCTTGGCCAAGAGTGTTTTCAATATGGCACTGTGAAAGGTGAGAAGCACTGCATTGAAAAGAGGATTCACTAAAGCTAATACTATGATCTATCCTCTAAAGACAGAGCTGCTTTCTTTCCATTCTTACAATCGCTGATTGACTTCCTGTTGGGAGTGATTGACCGCTTCAATTAACTATAAATACTCACCTGTTTTGGGTCCTGTTATGTTTCCAGTAAAGGAAAGTTTAAAAGCTCTGTCTTCCCCGTTCCGCTCAGCTTTAAGGAGATCGGCTCTGCCCTGTCTTTTAAACGCCTTCAATGTGGTTTTTTCTTTCTCGGGAGATATGTCTTCCGCACTAATCGTCGAAAATAACAGACAGGGTAGGACAAGCAAGACCTAAAAATATCGACAATGCACAGATTAAGAGAAAAAAATGGATGAAAATTGAAGAATTGATTGATTTGGGCTGATGGGAATGCATCTCGTTGACTATGAGAAATGATCAATCTAACCTTACGCAATTAAATTAAACCACTAGTATATCGTTCAGACTTACAAAAAAAAAAAAACACAAAAAACTTAAGAGTATCTTTAAGAATTTGCAAATCGAACTTTCGAAAGTGAAAGTCCAGTTCCTTAGTTGCTCGAAGGCTGATGCGAATGCATCTCGTTGTCTATGAGAAATGATCAATCTAACTTACGCAATTAAATTAAACCACTACTGTATCGCTCAGAAAAAATAAAAAAAAAACTCAATAGTATCTTTAAGAACTCTCGAAACTGAGAACGTCGTGACCAGCCCACTCACGGGCCAGGCATGCTTGCCCGTATTTGAGTATTTGAGTTCAATAGACAGCTTTGGCAGGAGCGAGGATATAAACTTGACAGCGCTGAATTTTGCAACAAAAAAGCAAGAAGACACGTTTGGGAGATTGAAATTTAAAGCAAGGAAGACGGGGCTCCTTTCAAAATATTTTGCTCGAAGATGATGAAGAAGTACAAAGTTGAAGAAAAATTGTCAATAAAAAGAGGAAAGTACGAAGTCAGTATGTGGCCAAAACACTTCTCTATAGTGTCTAAACATGCTTTTTGAAATGTTTAAGTTATTAAAATGGTCAAAAATAAACTGTAACACTTTGTTGAAATCGAGACGTTTACGTTGTTTACGAAAAGGCAACGCGAGTTAAAGTGAATACAATCGTTCAAGTACAATTGCCCAAAATGTAGCTGTGGATATAACTGCGTTTAAAAACTACATTATCTTTTTTAGTGATTTTAAATCAGGTTCTTTCGGATCACTCGTTAATTCCTCGGTTAGTGGATTACAGTTACTTAGAATATGGGTTAATAAAAGCATATTTCGGGCCAGAAAAAGTGTGGACGTTTCATTACAAATAACCGATTGCGAAGAACTAAACAAGAATGATAACACTGCGAAAACTCAAGCGATTGACGATTCACGACGCCTTTGAAAAACCTTGACTTACCAGTAGTTTTGCGCTGGCCATTTTACACCGTGAGCTATCAAGTTGTGCCGTCAACTGTGTTTGTCATCCGTAAAGCATGGTCATTTATATAGTGGTGATTTCGAACCTGTTTTCGGGGCTGTTCCCTTTCCTGTAAGTTTAAAGTAATTTTTTATGCTACTTAAAAAAAGGGACTTTCCGATGAAGTAAATTAACTTGGTAGATCTAATTTGGTCATAAGGCATTCGACGACAATGGACAAGCTACTTCCAGGTGAAAGGGCACTGTAACTATCACATGGTTTAATTAATTATGTAGCAAGCCATGGAAAATATTTTTACGTAGGTCAATCCGAAGTCGTTAAACTCCACTGATATCGATTCTTATTCACTTTTTCTATGGCAAGTATTAGATTTAAGAGCAGCGAAGTAAAACGAAGGTAATGATTCTGCATCATCAGAACAGTGAAAAAATAAACAACTTAATAATGTGGCATATTTACTAAACACGGAGAAATAGCCAAGAGTTTCAATCACCTTGTAAAGAAAAAAAAATTGACAGTAGTGCGGTTTGCTTTGCATCTTCGATTTATAGCTGGATTTACCTGATTAATGTATCCAGAAAAAAGAATGCAGATATTCTACCAAGGAGCGATTTTAAAATTAAATCGAACAACCACGGAAGTCACTTTCTGGGAAGTTGTAAAGCTTTACTTTCTATCTTTATAATAATTACGAAATCTTGAAGATTTCAACAAATTCAGGGTTTGAATTTATGTTTTTGGGTCTTTTGTCGATGTCTGCTATACCTTTGTCAAATGACAGAGGCATCGATTCTCTCTCCGAAAAGTATAACGGAGTATAGAATTACTCAATCCGAATAACTCAGAATAATTGCTCTTCCGCATATAAACAAAATTGCAAGGAAACATGAGATTACACATTTTCGTAATACGTAGAAATGTTTTTATGTTATACTCCTAAATGAAATACATCTGATTTGTGAGCTCTTTGTTACTCGTTATTTAGTGTGCTTATGATAAATCGTATTTACTCAACGCCTTTAGAGGAAGAGTATTCGAGAAAGGAATAAATCAATTAGTTTCCTCATTCGGTTTCGAACGGTTAAAGGAGGTCAGCAGTAGGTATTGTTCTTCACCCAGATAAAAAAAAGAGCTACATCATGATTTGTGCATCTCAAAAGGTTAAGTCTAGGCCGCTTTTTATCGTTGCAGTATGTGATCCTTGCTAATTTATCCCATCCTAAGCAAACCCCGCACCAATCTCATTTATCTTGGTGATGATCTATCTTACCGAAAAAATAAAACTGATGTCTGTCACTTTGAGTGTAATTTTCCCATCGATGATAACGAACCGAAAACACGGAGAGTCAACTACATGTTACCTAAAAAGCTAAGGAAAAGAGCCAGCTAAGTGGCAAAGTTCGATAGTCTACAGCAATAGTTTTTTTTTCTAATTATCAGTATCAAAACAAAGAAAAAGCATGCCATATTTCGAAGCAAGAATTTTATACAATAATTACTGTACAGTAAAGGAAAAGGAAAGACACCCCAAAAAAAAAAAAAAAAAAAAAAGACAAAATGTCATTCGAGAACAGACCAGCAAAGAGAGCCGTGATATATTGTAAAGTGATTCCTGTCCGTAACTTTGTGTTCTAAATTCAAAGCGTACCCAAATTATCTAGATAAAGCATTACAGTTTTATACTATTTTTCAGCCTTAACCTTACCTTTTTCGTTTTAGTACTATCCCTTTCCTTATTTGGCTTTAGTTGATTAGTTGTTAATTGGTTTTTTTCTTACATTGCAACATATCGCGTGATTTAACACGTGTCATGTGCCTAAAAATACATTTCCCGCTCTCAGAAGTAACCCTGCACGATGTCATTTACAATTATCTAATCCAGTTTTTCCGGAGTTGCGAAAGTATTCCTGGGGTTTTTCCCCGAGAAGTTCATGTGGATTTTAATCACTCCTCGTGATCAATTAGATTCATGGATTATCTTTATATGGAATCTTTTTTCCCGTTTTCCTTGACACCTTTTGTCATCTTATGAAAGAACATAAAGAAATAACCTTGGTAGATTAGCTGCAGTAGCTGCGGTAAAGGACATTTCAGAAAAGAAGCCTGTAAAAATTCAGGCGTCGCCAAGGTTTGAACCTGCATCTGGGCGTTATTACCAACTAAGCGACGAGGCCACGTGTTGTCAGTGAAGCAAATTTGAGAGGCATCTTCGTTCCCGTATGAAAATATGATTATATAATTATGAGAAAATCATACCACGAACGCTCACCAGAAGTTAGACTAGCTTTTTCTGACAGGCCCTATGCCGCTAATCCGAGCCCGCCCTGCCAAATCAGTCATTACCTCAGCTTGGGAAATTATTTCGACTTTACGGAAACCTAATCTTTGATAAAATTTAGGCTGACCGTCCACTTTAATCGGGATAAATTGTTCACCGAATTCGAAGCCTTTCAAAAACGTTGACATCTTGTTTTAAATTCCCATTTGAGCGGGATGATGAGACCCTTCCTCTGCGCATGCTCACTGTGTAGGGAAGTCATTTATCCGTTTCCAGTTTGGAATTTTCTCATATTCGGAACTTGAGGGGAGCTCGGCAAAAGGCGTGACCACTCTAAGCTCAATCAGCTCCCGCCTTTATTTTAGGTTGGTTTTCCTACTTCCGTAGCTCGATTTTTCATGACGAGAATATAGTTCTACACTTTTCACAAGCTGTCGATATACTGCTTCTTTTTATGCGATTTGGAACTTCTCTTGTCAATCCCCTCTTGTACACTTTGTTTAAAGAGGATTCCATTGAGCACCAAAGCCGGAAGGGCAACGATATCTGATCAACAGCACATATAGTAGACTCAATGTCAGACTCCGACAGTGAACCCGCTCTCTTTTCTTCAAATTTGTTTTCAAATTAAAGACAGAGTCATTCACAAAGGCTTTCTCAATATTGTGAACGAGCATAAGAAGGTCTCAATTAATGTAAAACTGAACAATGCAAATTTAAAGGTTTGCCATGGAAGGTGAAAAGGGACTTACAGTTTGTGAGAAAGCTGCGGTAATGACTAATTCTTAATAAATGCAAGAGAATAATTGAAGTATTTGGAAAAAAAAGCTTTCCTCAGTATTCACATTAGATGCAAAAATGTTTACTTCATTGCATAAGGAGGTGGAAGGCAAGCGACAAAGCTCAATTGCTTGTGTTTGTTATAACTGTTATTTGTTATCTTAGTGAGTTGTTTGACAATATCAAATATTAATCGCATCAACCATTTAAAACAATTGAATTTGTCATTTTACAAAGTCTGTGAACACACATAGTCGAATGCTGTGAGACTCAATCTAAATCGATCGAAATTCTCTAGTAAAAACTAATTAAGATTGCTTTATTTAAATAATTTATGCTTTAAATAAAGTATTGACTTATCTGAGTCAATCACACAAGGAATATAAGTATTCATTATACATCATAAATATCAAAATTCAATCAGTGTCAATAGCATGCACAACATGAATATATTAATCATCTCAAATACATAGTATTACGTTGCATTTCACTTGTAAGACGATTTCGTCAAGCCCTATCCTAACCGGATCTTGTAAATAATTGTTATTTACTGTACATCTGACTGTTTTTTATCTTAATTTAACTACTTCATCTTTTCCTTTTTTTTTTCTTGATATGTGACATATCATAGCGTAGTAAAGGTATTAAATATAACTATGAAGTGCATTTTTAAGTTCAACAGAGTAAATCTCACTTAAGTGTATCGCTTTTGTTTCTCTTGACCACGCTTGTGTTACTCTCTCAACCGATCAAATGCGAAACTGATACCAATCGTCACATGGTCAGCTGCGTTTTTTCACACTTCTTGCCTTAAAGGTTTATTTTATTCCCATCAAAGTCGGCGAGTTGTCATTTTCACGTTGTGATTCAGCCTGATGCTGTGATTGCCTTCGTGACTCACAATACTCCATGTAAAAGTGCTCTGTGAGAACTGTTCTACTGTTATGTTTCACTAGATCAAGACACTTCAGTACTTTTTTAATATAAATTTGCTTGGAGCGGGCCAAGTGAATGAACGTAAAACTATATAATTACAAATGTATTTGTTTATCAATCGGAGAAATCCCCACTGCAATAATTAATTAATGAGCGCTTAAAGAGAGAGCCATGTTCTGAAGTCCATCCAGTTAGAGCCCAAAAGGACGCGACCATCCGTAGTACTTTCAATCGGGAGGCGACTGGCTTTGGAGACTATTACTGTCAGACCATGTTCCACGTTTTTTTTCTGTTCATTATCATAATATTTGAACTCGAGATCCTTCATCAAAAACCCATAGTTCTTTCCCGTCAGTTCCGTCGATGAATTGTGTGGTCTCTGCCGATAAAGAGCAAGAGAAGTGTAACTCTTTGGCACTACATTCCACTGTATCCCTAGCCTGTTACATCACTCATGGCTCAGTGGTAAAGGAGCTTGATATAGTCCATAACCAATCAGAGTGCAGGAAAGACTATATTGTTTTTAAATGAAGCAGTCAGAGCGTAGGAGTTTCATCCAAGAAGCAGCGGACGGAAAATTAAAATGCTTAGCTTGTTTAGTGCGCTGTTTCCGAAAAAGTATAACACAAACAACAAAAAGCAAATAACATAATTGCGCTCTTTGAACATCTTCCTGTGTAAGGGTTTGCACTGAGTCCGCTATTTAGCATGGCAATTTTTTCAGTTCGCATCCATTTTGAGACGTATTTTGTTTCATACTTTACAGTGAAAATTACTTTATTTTACATTAGAGATGCTAATCTGACTGATGTCTTTCAAGCTGTACTAACCTTTATGACCAAGCTTCGTCCATCAACAGCCAGTAAATACTCTGGCCAATCGGCTGGGTGAATGGCGTAATGACTGAAAGACGAACCTTTGAAGTATGTTTTGAAGACGAATTCTGTGCCTGGAAGTAGATATACAGAGTGATAATTAATTCAGAGCAGGAGCGGCGCTTAATTCATTGACATTTCAGATGTTGTTACATAATTTAGTCTCAGTTCTGTCGAGAATAGCTTTAAATCTAGCTTTTTATGACAGAAATTTTAACAAAGCTTGAAAGGTGAGTAGCACTGCATTGAACAAAGGATTCACCTCGCTAGTATCTATCCTCTCTAGACAGAACTGCACCCTTGTTCCTCACAATCGTTGATAGCACCTTCATTAGAGGGCGACTCCCTGCTTTCCTCCCCCCCTCCCCCCCCCCATCCGATTTTGATTGATGGTATATCAAAGGCAAAAGAAAGAAAGTATGGGAAGGGAAAAGGAAAAGATTGAATGAGATAACGCTCAGCTAAAGTGGGACATCCTCAGTTATTAATGTTAGTTCCGCTCTCCTTTGACATGGGGTGTTGCTATTTAAAGCCATAGCACATGTTTGATAATTGCACATCAATAGAGACTGAACTTACTTTTCGACAATCAGTTTTATTTCAGGTATTGTTAATTTCATTGGCTTCCTGTTAGGAATAATTGATCGCTTCAATTAACAATAAATACTCACCTGTTCCGGGGCCTGTTATGTTTCCAGTAAAGGAAAGTTTAAAAGCTCCGTCTTCCCCGTTCTGCTCAGCTTTGAGGAGATTGGCCCTGCCCTGTCTCCTAAAAGCTTTTATTGTGTGTCTTATGTTCTGGGTGATTCTGTATTCAGCACTGCACGTCGAAAATAACAGACAGGATAGGACAAGCAAGACCTAAAAGTATTGAAAAGGAAAAAAAAAGAGGAAGTAAATAGAATAACATGTAATTAGAGTTGATTAACCTTAAGGTAGAGTGGAGGTCTGCAAGCTGTTGAAATCCAAGTTTGTTAACCAAAGGGTGGTGGAACTAATCGACTGTTTATTTAAGCAATGCACAGATTATATGGATGAAAATTGAAGAATTGATTGATCTGGTCTGACAGTCCAGAAGGCTGATGCGAATGCATCTCGTTGACTATGAGAAATGATCGATCTAACCTAATGCATTTAAATTAAACCACAAGTATATCGCTCAGATTTGCTAAAAAAATGGTTTGCAACAAAGAAAAAAAACTAAAACAAAAAGACTCAAGAGTGTGTAAGAATTGTAAATCGAACTCTCGAAACTTGGCACGTCGTTACCAGCCCACTCAATGGCAAGGCATGCTCGAGTATTTGAGTTCATTAGACAGCTTTGCCAGGAGCGGGAATATAAACCTGACAGCACTGAATTTTGCGACAAAAAAGGAAGAAGACGAGTTTGGGAGATTTAAATTTATAGCAAGGAAAACTGACCTCCTTCCAAAATTTCTCCCCCGAAAATAACCAGGAAGTACAACGTTGAAGAAAAATTACCAATAAAAGAGGAAAGTACGAAGTCAATATGTGGCCAAAACACTTGTCTATAGTGTCTAAACATGCTTTTTGAAATGTTTAAGTAATTTAAAAGGTTAAAGATAAACTGCAACACCTTGATGGAATCGAGACGTTTACGTTGTTTACGAAAAGGCAACACGAGTTAAAGTGAATACAATTGTACAAGTACAATTGTCCAAAATGTAGCTGTGGAAAGACCTGCGTTTAACAGATAGACCTGCGTTCATTTAACATTATCTTCTTTAGTGATTCTAAATCAAGTTCTTTTGGATCACTCGTTAATCTCTCTTAAGGTTAGTGGATTACAGTTACTTAGAATATGGGTCAATAAAAGCATACTTCGGGCCAGAAAAAGTGTGGACATTTCATTATAAATAACCTATCGCGAAGAACTAAAGAAAGAATCGTAACACTGCGAAAACTCAAGCAATTGACGATTTACGACGCCATTGAAAAACGTTGACTTACCAGTAGTTTTACGCCGGCCATTTTACACCGTGAGGTATCAAGTTGTGCCATCAACTGTGTTTGTTTGTAATCTTTAAAGCATTGCCATTCATAATAGCAAGTGATTTCGAAACTGTTTCCTGGGTTGTTCCCTTTCCTGTAAGTTTTTAAGATAGATGTTGACGACTCAGGAATTAAAAGAACCTCCGTCGCTTCGACGTAAGGGAACTTTCCATTCAGCGCCGTCGAAACATTACATTGCTTTAACGTCATGTTTTCCGGCCTTTGACTACGAGGTCATTTTTAATTGAATTTCAATTAAAAGCTTTCTTAAGAATGTGGTTTTGGAGTTATTTTAAATACTATTTGAAAAAAGAACTTTCCGGTGATGTAAACAAATCAACGTGGTGCATCTAATTTGGTCACGAGACATTCGACGTCTCTGGGCGAGCTACTTCCAGGTGAAAGGGCAATGTTACTATCACATTGTTTATTTAATTAAGTAGCAAACCATGGAAAATATTTTACATAAGTTAAACTGAAGCCGTTAAACTTCGCTGATATCGATTGTTATTTACTTTTGCCATGTCAATAATTAGATTTAGGAGCAGCGAAGTAGAATGAAGGTAAAGATACATCATCAGAATCGTGAAAGAATAAATTAAATGTTTTTATTAAATGATCAATTTAGGTTAACACCATCTGAATAATCTAGCATATTTAATAAACACAGAGAAAAAGCCAAAAGTTCAAATCACCTTGAAAAGAAAAACAATATTGCTGGTTTGTTTTAGAGGGAGATTCTGGAGCATCAAATCGTTTGTCCTGTAAAAATTGTGAAATTGGAAGTTTTAAACGGTTAAATACTCTAATGCTTTGTTTTCATTTATGACAAAATAACTTTCATTTGCCATCAGAAAAAATAGTGAGCTAAACGGCAGGTATTATATACCTCAAACATACAGAGTGGAATACTAGAAATACTGAGTATTACAAAACATTTATTTTTGAAAAATTATTTCATCCTCCCACAAGTCAAGGAAAAATCACGAGGTACAGGAACTGTTTTACTTTCTTTAAGGAAAATTTAAGACAAATGTGTTTCATATGTCTTTGATTAAATTAGGTTCTCTAAAAGACCCGATATTCTCTAGAATTGTGTCGTATGACCCAAGAAAACAATGAAGGAACGAAACTTCTTCCATCTGAAGAATTTGAATATAAAATATCGCAGCTTGCAGCTCACAATTCAGTTGCTGAATAAAAATTTGCAAGTAGTGCGGTTTTGGTTTGCATTTTTAATTCATGGCTGAAATTACCTAATGAATGTATATAAGGAAAATGATGCAGATATTTTAACAAGGAGTGATTTTAAAATTCATCGGAAAACCTTATATCTTACTTCCACCATGTAAGTCACTTTCTGGGAAGTTATAAAGTTTTACTTTCTATCTCTATAATAATTATTAAATCTTGAACATTTCGTCACGGGAATTAGAGGTTGAAATTTTTTTTTGCAGGGGGGGGGGGCTTTCTGTGGGTGTCTGAGCGTGTAATATAACTGCTATACCTTTGTCAAATTACAGAGGCATCGATTCTCTCTCTGAGAAATATAACTTAGAGTAGAATTACTAAATCAATAACTAAGAAAAATTGCTCTTCCGCGTATAAACCAAAGAGTAAGGAAACACAAGATAACATACTTCCGTAATACGTAGAATTATCTTCTGAAATGTTTTATGTTACACTCCTAAAATTAAAAACACTCGATCTGTGAGCTCTTCATTACTCGTTATTTAAATAAATGTTCTCATGATGATGTAAATCGTATTTACTCAACGCCTTTAAAGGAAGAGTGTTCAAGAAAGGAATAAATCAATTAGTTTCCCATTCGGTTTCGAACAGTTGAAAGACGTCAGTAGTACGTATTGTTCTTCACCATGATAAAAAAAAGGGCTACATCGCGATTTGTGCATTTCAAAACGTAAGTCTAGGGCGCTTTTTATCTTTGTAGTACGTAATCCTTGCTTAATTGTTCCCATCCTTAACAAATCCCACACCATTTTCATTTATTTTGGTGATAATCTATCTTGCCGGAAAAAAAATGGTATCCTTCACTTTCAGTACAATTTTCCCATCGGTGATAACGAACCGAAACACGGAGAATCAGCGATATGTAACCCTGGAATAGAAGGAAAAGAGCCAGCTTAGTGGCAAAGTGATGCATCATGGTTTTTGTTCGATAGTTTATAGCAATAGTTTTTTTTTCGTATTAGTATCCAAAAATAGAAAAAGCATGCCATATTTCGAAGCGAGGATGATATATAATGTTATAAAATAATTCAAATAGTACGCGCGCTCTGATTGGCCATAAAACCATTTTACATGAGCGTATGTAAACACGGTTTTGGTTCTTCTTTCATTAGTTACTTTATAAAAGAAATGTAAAATGGTTTCCGTTTTTACATAGCCTGATGTTTACATAGCCTCGATAAGCTGGAAACCACTCGGAAACCATTTTACATTTCTTCAATCATTAACAGTGAAGGCATAGAAAAGACCCACCCCACCCCTTTCCTTATTTGGTTTTTGAACATAATTTTCTGCTGCGGGCCGATGTTGATTGGTTGTTAATTGGTGTTTTTGTCACATTGCAACATATCGCGCGATTTGAAACGTGTCGCATGCCTAAAAATACATTTCCTGCTCTCAGAAATAATCCTGCATGACGTCAGTTACAACAATCTAATCCAGTATTTCCGAAGTTGCGAAAGTAATCCTCGGGTTTTCCCTCGAGAAGATCGTGTGGATTTTAATCACTCCTCGTGATCAATTAGATTCTTAAATTATCTTTATTGGGAATTTTTTCCCGTTTTCCTTGACACCTTTTGACATCATATAAAAAAAAAAACCATTAAAGAAATCATGTTGGCACATTAGCCTCAGTAGCTGCAGTTAAGAACATTTCAGAAAAGAAGCGTGTAAAAATTCGAGCGTCGCCAAGGTTTGAACCTGCGTCTGGGCGTTATTAGCAACTAAGCGACGAAGCCAAACGTTGTATCGTCGTTCCCGTATGAAAATATGATTATGTAATTATAAAAAAAACATACCATGAACGCTCACCAGATGTTAGACTGGCTTTTTCTTATTGGCTTTATGCCGTTAATCCGAGCCGCTCTGCCAAATCAGTCATTACCCAAGTTTGGCAAGCTATTTCGACAAACTTTAGGGAGACCTCTCTTTGATAAAAGTTAGGCTGACCGTCCACTCTAATCCGGATAAATTGTGCACCGAAAACGAAGCCTTTTCAGTAAAAACGTTGACATTTTGATAAAACCTTTCCACTGCGCATGTGTAGAAATTCAGTCGAGCGTCGCTGCTTGCGGCAATTATTGTGTGGGGACAAAAACGCGCCGTGACCATTCTAGCCTCAATGATTCTCTCCTTTATTTTAGGTTGGTTTTGCTTACTTCCTTAGCTCGATTTTCTATGACGAGAATGTAGTGGTACTCTTTCCACCAGCCGTCAATAAACTGCTTCTTTTCATGTAATTTGGAACTTCTCATGTCAATCCCCTCTTGTACACTTTGTTTGAAGAGGACTTTAGAAGTGTTTTAAGAGGTAAACAAAATCATTTGGACGAAATTCCATTGAGCCCGGAAGCCGGAAGGGGAAAGACATCTGATTAACAGCAAATATGGTAGACTCAGTGTTAGAATGCGACGGTGAACCAGCTCTCCTTTCTTCAAATTTGTTTTCAAGTTAAATACCGAGTAATTCACAAAGGCTTTTTAATTATGTGAATGTGCATAAGAAGATTACAAATAATGTAAAACTGTACAATGTACAAAATAGCTGGCCAAAACACAATAATCAAAACGGCAGATCTGAAGGTCTTGGTAAAGAAGGAAAAAAAGGATTTACACTTTGTGAGAAAGCTGCGGTAATGGATAATTTTTAATAAATGCAAAAGAATAATTGACGTATTTGGAAAAAATGCCCTCCTCAGTATTCAAATCAAATGCGAAATTTTCACTTCATTGCATAAGCGGGTAGAAAGCAAGTGTTAAAGCTCAATTGCTTATGTTTGTCAAAACTGTTATTTTTTATCTTATCGAGTTGTTTGACAATACCAAATACTAACCGCGTGAAACATTTAAAACAATTGAATTTGTCATTTTGCAAAGTCTGTGAACACACAAACTCGAATGAGACTCAAACTAAATCAGCCGAAATTCTCTCGTAAAAACTAGGGTTGCTTTATTTAAATAATTTATGCTGTAAGTAAACACAATACTGACTCATCTGAGTCAATCACACAAGGAATATAAGTATTTATTATATATCATAAATATCAAAACTCAATCAATGTCGATAGCATGCACAACATGAATATATTAATCATCTCAAATACATAGTATTACGTTGCATTTCACTCGTAAGACGATTTCGTCAAGTCCTATTCTAACCGGATCTTGTAAATAATTGTTATTTACTGTACATCTGACTGTTTTTTATCTTAATTTAACTTCTTTATATTTTACTTCTGTTTTTTTCTTGATATGTGACATATCATAGCGTAGTAAAGGTATTTAATATAACTATGAAGTGCGTTTTCAACAGAGTAAATCTCATTTAAGTGTGTCGCTTTTGTTTCTCTTCACCACGCTCGCGCCACTCTCTCAACCAATCATATGCGAAACTGATACCAATCGTCACATGGTCAGCTGCGTTTTTTCACACTTCTTGCCTTAAAGGTTTATTTTATTCCCATCAAAGTCGGCGAGTTGTCATTTTCACGTTGTGATTCAGCCTGATGCTGTGATTGCCTTCGTGACTCACAATACTCCATGTAAAAGTGCTAAATCAAGACACTTCAGTACTCTTTTAAAACAAATTTGCTTGGAGCTGGCCAAGTGAATGAACGTAAAACTATATAATTACAAATATATTTGTTTATTAATCGGTGAACATCCCAGTGGAATAATTAATTAATGAGCGCCTAAAGAGAGAGCCATGTTCTAAAGTCCATCCAGTTAGAACCCAAAAGGATGCGACCATCCGTAGTACTT